CCTCACCCGGAAGTGGAACTGCGGCGCCGGCAAGGCCGGCCCGGCTCCTAATTCCCCCTCTCCCCGCGCTCGACGCGATGCCCCGGACCCGGCGCGAGCCGAGGCTCCACCTCGGGCTAACCCGCCTCTTCGTTTTCTTCCCATCAGCAACTGTTGTATTACTAACCGAGCGCAAAATACCCTCGGTCCTTAAGCTTTTCCAGAGGATAGTGGAAGGGGGATGAGGGGTTGCCGCTAGACTCCCGCAGGAGGGAGGCCCCGGGGGTCCTGGCACCTTTTGCTATCCTGGTCGGTTACCCGGCGGTCAGCTCGCAGCAGGATCGCCCCATTTGACGCCTACCTGCGTCAGGCACTGTAGGTCCTGGCGGAGCCATAGTGGACAGAAGCAAGTTTTCTGTTTGTGAAGCTTACATTCTGCAAGGGATGACACATGTTTAAAAGCTGCTTTTAAGGATAATTTCAGGTGCTGATCCACAATTTTAAAGAGTCAACGTGATGGGAGTTGGTGGCACATAATGACGGTGAGGGAAAGATACAATTCTTCTGAGACCAGTGGATCATAAAGATTGGCCTTATGAAGATCTGGTGCAGAACTGTCCCAGACACAAGAAACACCAAGTACACAGACCATAAGGGGAGAGGGCACAGAAGAAACCTGCGTGTTCCGGGACCAGCAAAATGGACTGCATGGGTAGAGGGTGGTATGAAAAGAGGAAGGCAAAGGCCAGATGTAGGTCTTTGGACATGATGAAGAGCTTGGATTTTGCTCCAAGAAAGGAAGACACTAGAAAGTTTTCCGCAGGAGAGTGACCTGATATTCAAACCTACAGGTTTATAGTATAGGTTATAGGGGGCGAAAATGAAAGCAGAGACACCAGTTACAGGCCAACTGGCACAAGGGAGAGAACTGTGGCCCTGGCTGAGGAAAAAATAGTCAAGATAGAGGAACATGGACCAGCGTGGCTATTTTGTAGAGAGGAGGACTTGGGGACAACAGGGAAAGGGTTGGAAGGAAAAAGAGGATTCAGGAACGAGTCCTGAGCAGCCAGGTGTTTGGGGATACTATTTACAGAGTTGGGGTGTGGGGCGCTTTTGGTTGGGTAAACAGGAAAAAAAGGTATTTGTGTAATTTGTTAAAGCAATCCAGATGATCAACCCTTCTACGATTTTGCTGTCTAGTGGAGGTTTTCTTTTCCTCCCTTGCTCGTGGGCTAACTCACCATTCGTTCTTACTTTAAATCCAGCTTTCTTTCGGCTAGTACTCTGCAGCAAATTGAGATGAGACAGTCATTTTCTCCTTAACCGCCACTTAGGTTATCTCTAGAAGGACCTAGAAGAGTGACATCTGTCTCTATTTCTGGAATGCCTACATGTCCACAAAATGCAGCAGCCAATTCCACCAAATCCAACAGCCTTGCAGAAATGTGTAGTAATTGTAGTTATCAGTGGCACCATATAGATTATGGAAGGAAGGATTTGATTGCTAGTCTTAAGACTTTTCTGTTCAAACATTGGTCTCTTGAGGAAAGGACTTTTTAAATTATGCATATATATTTTCCCACCACCACAGAAATTGACACGATAATTCATATAGTCTAAGGATTCAGATATAATGCATATTATACTTCTGCATTAGGTCTTCATTTTCTTTTTCCTTTTTTTTTAAGTGCTGGAGGAGTTTAATGGAGTAATACTTTGGATTATCTGTTTTTAATTTTTTTAGTACTTGTGATAATAACTAATAATCTTGGCAAATAAGTACATAAATATATATATATATATATATATGTTTACATCTTGATTATTTTTTCTCTTCTCCCCCCACCTGCCTTTCTGCTGTTGTCTGCTGTTCTGATTTGTCTGCTAATAGAAGCCCTAACTACACAGAACTAAATTCCCAATCTGTGTCCCCTGAGATTCACTGCTGGCCAGCTGATGAGAATCCTAGGGTCAAATGTTAGAACAGCTTGCAGTTATTCCAACTCCCACAGAGAAGAATGATTATCACTTGATTCTTGTTTTAAAAGCTGCACCTGTAAACTCTTCCTTTTATCCTAGCAGCACGTCCCAGGCACTCCTGTGTCTGTCTCTCCACAAAGGGTTCTAGATCTCAGATTAAAAGCACAAAAATGACCAGTATTGAGCTAAACTAACCTAAAACATTTTTATCAGCCTAATGGCTGTACGTCACTGTAGAGAGTAGTGACTTATCCCATCCCTTCCTACTAACTAGGATGGGGTGTGATAAGCCAGGACCAAATACATGGTTTACAGTGTGTTTAATCCCTGTTTTTAGTCCTCCATTATCCTCTTGCCTTTAGACGCAGCTGGTGATTCAGATTTCCAAGCCTCTCTCATCTACAGGACAGAGTGGCTCCCTTCTCTGTATTCTAGTCTAGATCTTTTAGTTGAGGCAAACCTGTGGGTTTGAAGGGCGGTGTGGTAGAGCAAAAAAGAATGCAGAATTAAAGCAGGAGTGGAGCGTTAGTGCACACTTGCACGCACCTGTAATCTTTGGTAGGCTGGGGTAGGAAGATCACAAGTTTGAGCCCAGTCTGGGGAATTTAAGGATTTAGTGAGACCCTGTCTCAAAAAATAAGTAAATAAGTAAGTAAATAAATAAAGGTAGGGAAACTGAAGATATTCAATGTGAAGACTCCTGGGTTCAGTTGCTAATACTGCAAATAAGTAAAATAAACATATAAGTACCTGACCCTCCTACCTACTACTTGGAATTTGAACTTGGAAAAGTTCTCTGGGCTTCTTTCTCTCGTCCAACTGAGCAGACTCCCAGAGTCACTCTGCCTTGGGGATAGAAGCATCTCATCTCACTCATCCTGAACAAATAGCTGGGCCCTTTCTATTCAGAGATGAGCCAGGAGGCTCCTTATGGTAGAAAGTCCTTGGAGACTCAGAACACTGAAGGCCCTAGGAAGACATACTGGCAGCCGGAAGACTTAAATAGCTGTACTGTGGCGGTTAAGGGCCTGTGAACATGAGGTACTTTATTGTGATAGATGGTAGGCCTCAGCCCAGAAGAGACAGAATCCAAACAGGACCTCAGGGAAGCTGTGGAAGGAACGATGCCATCACTCTCCCTTTAAGGAGCCTCCTAGACCTGACAGGATAAAGAGCATGCTTCCTCCCCAGGGGTCAAGTTTACCACACAGGCCAAGAATGTAGTATCTTCACCTGTACCTGGGGGTTCTAGGGTGAGAGAAGATGAAAGAGCCATGTGCAGAGGTTAAAGGTTTGCATCCAGGGCTTAAATCAAACTTTGCCTCACAGATTGTTCCCTTGGACCTCAGAGACGTGAGATTATTGACCAGCATGCAGGATGTTTCTTAAGGCGCATTCTCAGGATCAACTACTGTGGAGGAATAGCAGGCAGGATTGGGCAGAGGGAGAAGTTCAGGTGCAATCACCGGAAGCTTTGGCAGACCTGCGGGGGGAGCTCTGAAAGTCAGGGGGCCATTGTGGCAGCAGGGCCAAGCCTTCCTCTTCCTTGCACTGACCAGTCATTGGGTGCTAGCTACCAAGGGATGGGAAAGGGAAAGCAGCTCTCTTCAACCGAGGACAATTCCTCAAGAAGGCACAGCTAAGCTGATGGCTCTGCGCCCTGCCAGGTAGCTGGAGAAGTCCAACAGGCCTGAGGGGGGACCTGTGCGGCATTTGCCACAGTGCCCTACGGTGCTGTGCACATCATGCCATTTTGTATTATGCTCTGTAATAAGACTTTAAATCCCCCTATAGCATGAAAGAAAAATGGACCGAGTATTTACCCAGTGGTTCGAATTTCCTGTCACATCAGCCATACAGGGCCACAGGTTTGAGAAGCACTGCCACACTGCATTCACAAGCAGAGCTACTGTTTCTAACACCTCCGTTCTCAGCGTTGACTTGCTTCATTAATGTTTTCTGAGCAGCCTCTTCAGGAAGCTGGTGGGCATCTTTCTGTGGAGAACTTACCAGAAGAAGGTGAGTGGAACAATCATCCTCTGCCGTGGCTGCAGCTCATCATGAAGCACAACTGCCATCCTCATCCTTTCTTTTTTCCATCCATTTGCGATTCCTCTCATCCTCTGCCAGCGCCTCCGATGCTCTGGGTGGCCTCTGTGCCAAGTGCCCTACACCTCCACTTTTCAGGCTATGGATGCTACATCTGTTCGCTTAGTGCCAAAACGGGGCCAGGGACTACTGTGACACCCAAGTGGATCACTGGCTTCCAGGCAGTTTCCTGTCCCTGTGTGTGGTAGTAGCCTGTTTCCTTCCTGGTGACCACTCTTGCCTGCTGATTCCTTGGCATAAGGAACGTCTGATATATGATGCCTGCTAGTACATTTCCTTCCCTTGGTATAATATTCCATTGCCTACCAGTAAAACATTTTGCAGTCTTAGAGCTTCCCTGTGCCTGTGCTCCTCCTCTCCTGGGGACGGGTCCTCATTATTACCTCGGGTGACCCAACTCTCGAATGCTTCCTTAGCACCCACTCTTTCTGGTCATCTCTGGCACTAGCTGTTTGGTGAGTTGGGTTCTTAAATAAACAGTTTCAGGAAGTTTATTGGGCAAGTGCTTCTGGGGCCCACATTTATGGGCAGAAGGAAGGAAGCAGGACTAGGCAGAGAGAAATCAGGCTGCAGTGTGCTCCAGGGCAGTGGGTCTCAAACTGGGATTGACCAGTCACTGTATTAATGGCTAGTGTCGATCCTCGCTTTAGTGACAACAGAAATTAAAACTGAGGCAACAGCATGAATTCACAGGAAGAGTTTTAATTAAAAAGTCAAAGAAAATGGGGGAGGGATCTCAGGTTGAGGAGAAGAAAAGCCAAAGAAAACATAGCCCTGATGGAGAAGATTATGCTGGCTTGTTGACACAGGAAAGTAAGAGAAAATAGGGAAGGGACTTAGCTGGAGAGAGAGTTTAAAGTGGCACAACTCTGATGGAGATCAGTCTGGCCCATTAGCAAAGGAAAGAGGCCAGTCTTTATGGTTTGAGGGGCCAATACAGTTTATTTCTGTTTAGGGGGCAGCCTCTGTTTGGTAGGGACTCTGCTGGAATCCATAGTGACTGCAGATTTAGGGCAGTGGCTGGAGAGTTCTAGGCATTTCAGGGAGTAAAAGCTGATAGTTGAATCTCCCTGAACCAACACCCCCCTTCGGAAGCAGAAATTGAACTCAGGACTGCACTTGCCAGGCAGGTGCAGGGCCACTGAGCTACATCCCTGGCCCCACCTGCAAATCTCTTATCTCGGTGTCTTAGTTACTTTTCTCATTGCTGAGACAAAATACACAACACCCAAAGTTAAAAGAGAAAAGATTTATTTGGCTCATAGTTTGTATTTCAGTTCATAGTTGGCTAGTTCGAAGGCAGGGTGGCATGGCGAGGAGCATTGCAGAGCAGAAACAGTTATGGCAGGCAGAAGGCAGTAAAACAGCCAAGCAGCAGCAAGTGACAACAGCAGCTCTCTGTCTATATTCTATCCAGGCTACACACCCTCGAGGGAAATAGCACTCACACTAAGGGTGGGGCATCCTTAATCCTATCATTTGCTCGTGAATCAGTCCCAGCCTCACATCCTTAATCCCATCATGTGATCTAGATCCAGCCACTTCCAAAAGCCCCACCTATGACTACATGAGGCTTTGGGGAGACAGCTAAATACAGGCCATAACACTTGGTATGTTGGTGTCTTCAGTCTTGAAAGAGGATGAGCTCAATTAGACAAATTAAGGGCTAATAAACTTTTTTTTTTTTTTTTTTTTTTTTTTT